TAGCTGATATTTTCAATGTGAAAAAACAACTATATATGTATATTTTAATTTATATCAATAAATTTAACATGAAATAAATATTTTTCAAATAATAGCACACAACTTAGATTCTGTATAAAGCTGGTGTTTATCATTTCTTTACAAACCATCATGCATAACTTTCTAAGTAGCTTCTGAATTTGTAAAATGGCAAACAAGTTTTAAAGTATGAGAAGGTAATAGATACTTATATATAGTTTTGTGTAAAATGGTGTCACACTTCTAAAGACAGGGAACTAGAGATAATTCATGAAGCAAAAAACTAGTTTCTATCTGTCTTGTAAGTAAAATTCTATTCTAATTCTTTAAAGAAAGTTTCATTAACAGTATTGTTAAAATACTTAATGTATGTATATTTATTTCATTACTTTTCACTTATTATGTTTTATTCTTAAGAGGATTATTTTGCATTGTTAGTTTAGGAAATGGACTTAGAACTCATCTATATCTAAGACGGCTGAATTTCATTAAATTTCAAAATATAAACAAAATCAATGTTTGAAATGCACAACAAAATATTTTGTTTGGCTGATGACCAACATTAAATTACTACATGTTTCAGTAGCTTTATACTACCATCATCAGGAGTAAAAACGTACATGACAAATGGGTAGTTTTATAATGAAAAAGGTCCAATTCATTGTGATCTATGAATGTGGTATGAATATTACACATAAGAAGTCAATATTTCTTTTCAAAACTGTGGATTATCACCAGCTAATCCTTCATCTCTATTTAACCCTTTTGAGAAAGGTCACAGGTGAAAGGCCATGTCATCTGCTTTGTTGACTTGCTTTCAAAATTTTATAACTACTATTTCATGAATTTATGTCAATAAGTTTGATATCAAACTGTAGATTATAATTCAAATTTTAGAACCATATATTACTCAATTTGTTCATTATTCAATTTCTTAATTTAAAGCTAAATATTACAAAGACAGATAAACATAGATTTTTGTGTGTCACGTAGTATGTTGAATGCAGCACTGGTTCAAATTAGATGTTTTGAAGCCAAAATACTAAGTTTATAGTTTCA